AGCACCCCGAGTCACACAAACAGATGGCCGACGTCCCTCTCTTTTTCCTCCTGACTGTGAACTCCCCCCTTAAAATGCGACGTGAAACCGCACACGTGAGCTCCAAATCGTGAAAAAAAATCCCCGGGGAAGTGTTTTAATGGATGTGAGCCTGAAAGATGAGTCTGATCATGGACAACAGGCTAGAGGCGATGGACACGGAGGCGGAGGTGAAGAAGCTGCAGGCGCTCGTGAGGGAGCTGGAGCTGCAGAATGAGGAGCTGAGGTCAGAGCGGCAGCAGTTGATGAAGGACGGCGCTGGAGGTGGCAGTGGCAGTCCCGTGGGCGTGGGTGGAGGCGAGAAGGACGCCCATTCGCAGCCCTCGACGCCCAAACGCCAGCAGGGACTCGCAAGCCTAGAGACCATGGATCCTATAGGCGTCGAGGACTCGTATTCCGACGACGAAACTTGGTGAGTCCTTTTGGGCCTCCCTTTCCCTCTCTTTCCACTCTTTCGCTCGTTTTCTTTTCTCGGTCTCGTCCTCGTTCTCTTTCTGTGGGTTTTTCCCCTTCCTTCCTTCCTTCTCTTACTCTCTCTACCCTACCCCTATCTCACTTTCTCTCTCTCTCTCTCTCTCTCTCTCTCTCTCTCTCTCTCTCTCTCTCTCTCTCTCTCTCTCTCTCTCTCTCTCTCTCTCTCTCTCTCTCTCTCTCTCTCTCTCTCTCTTTTCTCCCTCTCCCCCTCCCCCTTCCCCCCCTCCAGCAGGTCATGTTATGGTACTTGTATGGGTGTGTTTGGGGGGGAGGGGGGAGTGGGGGTGACCCGGGCCCTCGCTTGACCTCGTTACTTCGGCCTGGAAACGCCGACATAAAGATTTATTTCGTGTTATCCTTTCTCTCATGTGGGTGTTGGTTATATTGTGGATATGTGTATAGATTATTTATTTATTTATCTTATTTATTTTTCCTTGACTTTTTGACTTTGTAGTGAAGTGAAATGGAAGAATTATATGACGAAATGGATCGCATTTTTGGATTTTGCGATGTGTGTGACCTATTTATTGAAAGGATTGGGATACGCGACCCTATGTGACCTAGTTTTACAATCTGGTGATTTGTTGTTGGTTTAGGGTCTCGAGTTGCCGAACGCAGAGTCGTTATGAACAATTGAACAAAGTGGGAGATAGAGAGCAAGAATAATAAGTATTTAATGGAAATGAAGTGATGTGTACAATTATTACGCGGAAGTGAGAGATAATTCCGCACACAGGTGTTAAAAACGTTCTGCGGCAACGACATGCAACCCCAGTGGAGGAAAGTTCAATAAGAGAAATTTGGTGTTAGTGATTTTTTTGACGCATCAAGTAAATCTGCAAAGGCTTACAACAGAAACCGAAATATTTGGATAAATATCACCGTGAAAACAACATTTTGAGGTTTTCTGAAAGCACGGGATTCAATGTGCTTTGAATGACTGGTATTTTTGAGGACTCAGCAAGTGGCTTTTTAAAATGGGGACTTTTTTTTTTCCTGATAAGTGATTTCTCTGTGTTATGTCAAAGTCCACTTGCAACTTTCGTGAACTGTGATGACTGGCAGATTTTGGGAACCCTAATGTAACAGGGTCAGTGTTAAACGATTACTTTGCCCTCAACATCTCGTTCTCTGTTGACGGCTAACAACCCTCTGCTACGTATGTTCATGTAATATAAAGCCTGAACATTTTCACCAAATAATTTGGAAAGTTTACCGGCACAATCGCATTCATAGGTGCATGGCAAGGGTTTGTTGGCTTTTGCCTGAGCGCCGAGAGATGAGTAGGCTGCTTTGGTTAGTCGGAGGTCTGTGATGTTACTTTAGTCTGAGGTCTGTGATGTTACTTTAATATTGTTGTTAATATTATGCAGATAAATTCATGTTTATGTATTTATGTTTGATTATATGAAAAATATGTAAGCACAAGGAATAGATTTGTCTTTTGAAGATATTTATAAGTTATTAGATTGGCATGTAAATCATTGCATGGTGTATATGTGACTAGGAAAGGATCTTCAGTTCTAGTTTATGGCTTTCAGTTTTAGATTATTTCAAATAGTTAATTAGAACTGAATGACTAATGTCTATCGAGCCAAACAATTCTGTTTATTAGTATTGAAGCAACCGAAAAATAAATCCAGAAATCCAGGTGTGTGTGTGTACTGTCCACTATATTTTTTGTGAAATTTGTTGCACACAGGAAGCTTAGACACCAGGGAGTCCATTAATAGGCTCTGCATTAGGCCCGTTTTGTGAATTTTTGCATTTTTTTGTTTTATCTTCCTTTATTCTCCTAGTGCTATTAATGGCATTGCTGTAATCATAACAGCTTCAAGAATAATCACAAAACGGGTAATATCTTGTTTATCATTAAAACAACTTGCAATAGAGAAGAATTATTGTTGCACAGGAAGAGAGACTCGTGTTTATTGACTCCCGTAAGGCTAGGTTAAGGTTAGGTTAGCCAAGGTTATTTTAAGGTTAGTGTTTGCAAGGTTAAGTTAAGAGTCAAGGATATATTCGTATTAATTTTTTTTAGAGTAGGCTGTGTTAGGTATAGGATTACGTATGTTAATTTGATTAATAGAAGATTAAATTGATTTAAGTTACTCTAGATACTTAATTTCATTTTAAGCTTATGTTGGGATAGTTCAAGGTTATAATACAGTAGGTACTCTATGCTAATGTATGTTAATTATTGAATTACTCAATGTTAGATTTGTTTAGGTTTGATTAGGCTATGTTAGGAACCAGTAATGTTACTTTGACCAAGGTTTTATTATGATGAGATTGATATATATATAAATGTTTGGATTTTGGTCACATTCAATTAATTTAGGTCAAGATTGATTCCTTAATCCAGTCATGGGTAAAGGGTGTAGGTATTTGGGAAATCATTGGCTACTGTGACTTCATTCATTTAATATATTTTTTGTGTTACTGTTAGAGCCTTTTAACTGCATTTGTTGTAGGTGATACATATTTTTTTATTTCTTTTTTACTGATAAGTGATGATTATAGTCTTGTTCTGATTTTTAACATTTGGAGATTTTTTTACCCCCAAAGTTGGAAAAGTATTTATGTAAAATCCTTTAACAGATAAATTTATCATCAGTTTTTTCTTCTGCATAGAGAAAGTCCCTTGATATTTTGTGTATATTGGGTATCTTAATTTTTGGCTGGGCGATTGTAGGCAACTGCAGGTGAAATCTACCGAATATTGTCAAGGTTATTTACAATATTTTCTCCCAGAGTAATGTGACCCCCATGTCCTTGCCCATAATCATAAGTTGTCAGTGTAAGATATCAGCTTTAGGGTCAAATACTCGTCTTTACCTCTTCTTTTCCTTTTATTACGTTGGGAAATAAGCTACGTTACTTTATTATTAATCTGTAAAGTAGGTACTCAAGACTTTTTTTTTTTTTTATAGCTAGTTAAAAGTCAGAGGTCAGGAGATAGATTTTAATAATATGAATGGTATTTATCCCTCCTGGTTGAGGAAACGTATACTTCTTTTATATTTTTACGTCGTTCCTGTCTGCAGAAAAATGGTATCGTCTCGTACAACTTTTACTTTTCTGGGATATGAGACAGGCTGGCTGGAGAATGCACCAGCAAACTAGTTCTAGGCGTGTAGGTGTTGGTGATAGTGGGTGAGAAGAACCCCTTGCATTGTTCTTGCACAGATCACACAGGTTTTCTGATCTTTAAGAAGCTGGATGATCTTAGGGAGGACATGTGTGATGCTTGTTTTTTTGTTTGTTTGTTTGTTTTCTTCTTTTTCCTCTTTGGGTAGATTTTCTTTGTTTTTTGTATGGATTTCTTTTTTTCCTGGTTTATTGTGGGTTTCATTGTTTTAGTTGAGTTTTAATAGTTGCTGAGTTTTCCTTATTTGGTGGTATTATAATGATTGGTGTTTTTCCTCATAGTGGCTTTTTTTTTATGTACATTACATGTTTGTTAATTTTGTTACTATTGTATGTTTATAAGATATGCAGATTTCAAAGGTATTATTTCCTTTTCTCTTCACTTATTTTTTCTTCTGCCTCCCTCTCTCTCTCTCTCTCTCTCTCTCTCTCTCTCTCTCTCTCTCTCTCTCTCTCTCTCTCTCTCTCTCTCTCTCTCTCTCTCTCTCTCTCTTTCTCTTTCTCTTTCTCTTTCTTCCTCCCTCCCTCCCTCCCTCCCTCCCTCCCTCTCCCTCTCTCCTTCAATCATTCTCTGTTTGTGTCTACTTCACATAGGCCTAAATATTTTTGCCTTTGATATGATAGTAATGTAAAAGGCATTGAAAAATCACATTTATTTTTATTTTATTTGTTGATTTTTTGTTTCTCTGAATACAGAAGAATCAAGCCCAGTGGAAGGCATCATGGGGTGGGGGGATGAGGGATGGGGGATGGGGTGGGGGGTTAAGGAAGGGGGGTAGGGGGGGGGGGGCTGGATGTTCGTTCCTGTGGATCCTGCCTCCCACAAGGTCTTTTCATAACAGTTATCAGAGGCCAAATGGTGTTTCCTGTAAACATTTTCTCGCATTACCAATGACATCCTGTGGGAGAAAGTAGCTAGCTTGATTGCCTTGTAATGATCTGTTTACTTGTTTCTGTTCTATTGTTTTGCCTTGGGGTTTGGTGGGGCCTGGAGTTGCATTGTAGGGGGGTTTGTCTTTTGGTACCTGTGCTCTTGAGGTCGTGGGGAGATATTAGTCTTTTTTCCCGTTGTTATTATTATTATTATTATTATTTTTTTCTTGGTGCATCTTCTTCTTCTTCTTCTTCTTCTTCTTCTTCTTGGTTCTTCTTCTTCTTCTTCTTCTTCTTCTTATTATTATTATTCTTAATTTTGTTCTTGGTTCATAATTTTTTTCTTGCTTCTTCCTCTCCCTCTCCCTCTCCCTCTCTCCCTCTCCCTCTCTCCCTCTCCCTTTCTCCCTTTCTCCCTTCTCTCCCTCTCTCCCTCTCTCCCTTTCTCCCTCTCTCCCTCTCTCCCTCTCTCCCTCTCTCCCTCTCTCCCTCTCTCCCTCTCTCCCTCTCTCCACTCTCTCTCTCTCTCTCTCTCTCTCTCTCTCTCTCTCTCTCTCTCACTCTCTCACTCTCAACCCCCCCTTTATTTTCCAACCTGTTTATCTTAAACAGATAATTAATTACTCCTATGCTCTACTTTAATCAGGTATCGTAAAACTCAGTGAATAACGCACTTTTATTATCCAGCCTTTGTGTGGTCGATGAAGGTAGTTAAAACCAGTCTGTTGACATTCTTAACCAACAAACTACTGGTCCAATTTGATCTCAGGGAGTCTCCTTAATCCTGGAGGAATGTTGGTATGGCTACCTGCGAGTTAGAAATGGGAGTTTCCGATGTCTTGTTGTGCGTTTCGGTGCCGTTCCGTCCAAGGGTTGGCACTGTGGGTATCTTTATGGGCATTTAGCCTTTCGCTC